AAAAAAAATAAAAAGAAAGAAAGAAATATGGAAAAGATGCAGGATAAAGACCAGTTTGTTAATTGCGGACAGAGCTCCATAGGACACAGTGAAAAAGGTCGGGGAGGGAAGGAAATGGTATAAAGTTAGGTTGGAGAGAGGAAGCACAGTCAAGATAAGTGATTTGAGAACTTTCATCATAAAGTAAAAGACCTGTAACATTGCCGCTTCATTGTTAAAGGCAAGATACCAAACTTAATGCCCTGTGGTACTTATGTTTTGGCGAATTAATTATTTGACACTAAAAATTGCTTTTTTTTTTAAAGAACCGTTTGAAATCTATTCCGAGTACCTCGTATATGATGTGGCAACAGTAAAATAGGTTGTATGTCACAGAGATCTTGGAAAACCCTGCATTGGGCAAGTCAAATCTGAGTCATACTCAAAAACCCAAAGATAGATAAGAGGCCCATTTTGTTAGGCTTTAGGGAAATAGGCATTCTCACACTTTGCTGGTGGGAATGCAACGTAGTACAATCCATGTCAAGGGGAAATTGGTAATACTTAGCAAAACTGCATATGCATTTCACTTGGACCAGGAAATCACACTTCTAGGCATCTATCCCAAAGATAAACTGCATATGAAATGATGTACGTACAAGACTGTGTGTTGTCACACGATTTTTAATAGTAAAAACTGGAAACAACTGAAATATTCTTCCAGTGTTGGAATATAATGTAGCTGTAAAAATGAATGAAAAAGCTCTTTATGTACTTGTGGAGTGATCTCCAGAATAGATTTAAGTGGTGAAAAGCCAAGGTGCAGATGAGTTTGTTTAGGGTGTATTTTTTGTGTAGGAAAGGGTGTGGGGATTCAAAAGAAAATAATGGAAAAATAAATAAAAAACTAATAAAACTTGTAACTCCAAGGAGGAAGCAGAGGCCAGGGAAGACAACAATTGTGGAAGTTAGATGTCCCTGACTGAATCATGTTTATAGCTTTGACTTCAGAATTATGTACACATTTTAAAGCAAACAAAAAAATGTAATAACAAAGTAATTTCTAAAATTTAAAAATAAACTGAAGAAAACAAAATCTAAGTATATTTTGATTGGTGGTGTAAACACATAGACAATAATTATTTCAAATGACTTTAAAACATGGCATTTTAACTGAATATTCCCCATGGGATATATGCTAAGGATAAAACCAGTAATCCACAAAGAAAGTTATATAGAGTGTTATTTTGTGATTATGTTAATGTCATGGGAACCAAGATTTTAAGCAGAAGAGGAAAGAGATACAGATATAAAATCAAATATTTTAAGTGAAAATTCTATATTTTTTAATTCGATGTGGAAATATAGTATGAAATCATAATTTATTTCTCTCTTTCCAAAACAGTATGTATTTTTTGGCACTCCCTCCTGGAAATGCCTGAAAGGAATAACAAATAGGCAGCAATCAACCCCCTTAGGGTTCAGGTTGTGATCTCTAAATACATTTCCCTCTTAAAGGACATTTCATGGAACCAGAGTACCATGGAAAAATGGTGATTCCAGATCCAGGGGAAGAAATGTACAAGATGATCTTAGGACATCTTGCCGGAGAGCAACGAAGCTATACAAGATTACTGAAGTTTTATCGAAAGGAACACAGGAGCCCAATTGTTGGGGCTTTCATTGAAACAAGGTTGGACAGTTAGAGCAGGAAGAAAGAATAATTATTGCTGCGGGTTAGAGTATGTCAGTATATAAACACTTTTCAACTCATAATGATTCTTTAAAAAGAAAAACTCATCAAATTCCTTAGAAGTTAGTAGAGTACCAATTTATTATTCTCAAAGTTGATAAATAAAAGAATCAAAAGTTTATCCTTCCTTTCCTGTATGAAATGTAATTTCTTTATACCAAAGAGATAATGATGACAAGTATTTCTTCATAAAAGAATTACAGCTCATAAATGTAGAAGGAATGATAGAACTGGAAAATCACTGTGCAACCCCAGATGAGTTAACGGGTCTAGATGAAGGCCATCAATGATCTGAAGACTTTACTGGGGCTAGAGGATCCACTTC